GCTCCGCCGCTTGCCGGGAGCCGGCCCCTCCCCCGCGGTCTATCTTCCCGTCGCTTTGGATTCACTTCTCCGCCCGTCCTACCTTTCAGAAAGTGGTTGATTTTCTGTTTCTAGAGTTGCTGTTCTTCTTCTCTTCGATCTCCCGTTGGATTTGTAGGTGTTTGCAATCTTTAGATAAGCTATCTAGCTGATCTCCCGCTACCTGAAGTAGTCTCAGCCTGCTACTTCTCCGCCATCTTGACTCCTCCCTCCTCTATTTGGATTTTTTACAGTAGATATGGCTTGATAAAGTTTATACAGTGTAACATTAGCTTTTGGCTAAGGTTGGCAACAATATGAACACAATTACAATAGATCTGACAAAAGGAAATAATCAAGTAAAACAAAAAATGACTACAAATCATTCCCGAGAAAAACAAAAATTATAAGTTAACTTACAATCTCACTTGTTTATACATTTGTTACCATGAGCACAAATTCCGTATTAGCCTTTAGCAATGTCATGTACTAATGGCTCCAGAAAATGCTTTCACTTAAGAGTGGGTAGATTATTTAATATATTTCAATTACTTTGCTGAAAACTTGGGTCTTAAAAAGACAAATCAATGCCTGAGGCAAAAAAAAAAAAAAAAAAAAGAGAGAGAGCTAAAGGTAAATATAGAGAGAGTGAATAAAAAACCAGGTTGTCTATGCTGAACAATGAAAAATATAATAAAAGGTATATTTAATCATTACCTGATCAAAATAATTATTTAAATGGAACTATGAAGAAAATTAATTACTCCACTCCTTTGAAGAAAATGCTTTCATTCTTAATATCTATTTGTTCACAAATACACCATAATTTGTTAATTATTCCAAATTAAATACCGTTAGACTTTTTAGACGGACTAACAATACTACTTGCAGAACTGCTTGCACAATGATACCTTCCTTTTCTCATAATTACATGTTACTTCTTTTCTCCCAGATAATCTATTATGCCTGGGGAGAAACTACAAAAATTGTTAATGTGGATATGATTCACAACAGAATTTCATAATATCCTTCGAAATATATGCCTTTTAACAATATATTTATTTGGGCTTTCAAGGAAAACAAGAAGGAAAGATATAAATAGGTATCTTATAATCATCTACACTATTTACTGCGAACTCAAATATAGTTTAAAACATCTAAAATATTGAAAGGTTGAACTCTAAAACTGACACTGCTTTTTCATAATGAAAATACATAAAGCAATAATTTTATAATAAAGAGAATATGGTAATGTTACAAGGATATTCACTGTTATATCACATCTTATTCATTAATATCATGTTATTTATAGTAAAGAAAATACCTAAAATGTTTAATTATTATTTTGTGCTTTCTGATTATTCTTTAATGGCATGCATGGCCCACTTCAGCTTCTTTTATCCTCTAAATTTTGTCAGAAAATATTCCCAGATCTGTTCATATTAATCTTGTCTAGTCTCATGGATGAAGACTTCATTATTGTAATTTTTTCCCTAAGTCATGTAAGTTTTGAAAAATCTGTTTCACTACTTCTGTGCTAATTAAAAGCTAATTAAACAGTATCTCTGAATGATACTTCCATTGATCATCACCTTTTATAATGAAACACCTCAGTGTTTGCCCTTTTCTCCTGAAATAGTTATTCAAACACATAGTAATAAATCATAGTTCATCCCAATAAGTTTTAATAGTTGACTTCATGCAAAAAAAAAAAAAAAAAAAAAGTCTCACCTAAGAGTCCAATGTCCTGTTTGGGTCCATTTTCCCAATTAATACAAAGTACAAACGCACACACACAAAGTCTCCTTAATCCTTTTTCTGTACCTAGTGCAATTCTGCGTGCTGTCGCACTCCGGGTAGGTTTTTCTGGCTCAAGCACCCAAGTCTTCTCATCGATTTCATCCATAACATCCCAGAATGCCTTCAGTGATTCTAAGGCTGCCAAAAACTGACCGTAAATGCTTATTAAGGAGCTCTGTGAAAGACAAATAAAAGCTGCATAAGTTGCATGATGCTCTTATCAACAGCAGATAATCTTTCACTTAAAATACAATTCAATTTAGAAATTTTAAGCTCTGTTTCATTTTAGCTGAAACTACTCAAGTAAACAAGAGTCAAGTCTCTCTGCTTCACCTCTCTTCACCTCCATTAGCATTGACAGAATTTTCTGTTTGTCATTGGGACTGTGCATCTTACCAGAAATTGTTTTTTAAAGACCGTATTTATTTTTACCATGATGCATTCTGTACTATATTTATAGAACAGTAATTATTAGTACAGATGACATGTATGTACTTTATTAATGGCTATATTATATATGTATTGAGCATAGTCTCTAAACAATTTTAGTATGAAAGTTATCAAGTTATCTAATATGCAGTTATCAGGTTAAATGTAGTGCTATTTGTAATTCAATTAAATTACTATTTTTTAAAAGATTTTATTTATTTATTTGACAGAGAGAGAGAGAGAGAGAGACAGAGAGAGACTGAAATCACAAGGCAGAGAGGCAGGCAGAGAGAGGGGGAAGCAGGCTCCCCACCAAGCAGAGAGCTCGATGTGGGGCTCGATCCCAGGACCCTGGGATCATGACCTGAGCCAAAGGCAAAGGCTTTAACCCACTGAGCCACCCAGGTGCCCCCCAAATTACTGTTTTTTTAAAGATTTTATTTATTTGTCAGAATGGGGAGAGAGAGTGTGCACAAGCAGTGGCAGTGGCAGGCAGAGGGAGAAGCAGACGCCTGCTGAGCTAGGAGCCAGATGCCGGACCTGTTCTCAGGACCCTGGGATCACGACCTGAGCCGAAGGCAGACACCCAACCATCTGAACCACCCAGACATCCGTCAGTTAAATTACTTTTAAACATTATTAACTTTACAGACTTATTTAGGCAAAGAGTATAAAAAGGTTCTACATATATTTTCCCACAAGGTTTTTATTGATTAAATTCAAATAATAATGGAGTACATTTTTTGTAATATAGATCTATTAATGAGAATAATGTGGATGGGGAACAATGTTTAATTGGGGCTAGACGTTAGTGTTCCCTTTATCAAAATCAATTGCAAATGTTTATCTGTTAATGTCTGTAATGAAATTTTACTTGTATTAACCCTGAAAATGTTTTTTCACACACATAGGCACCTTGTGGAATATCTAGTACTGACAAATATGGATATAAATCCAGAAGCATAGGATTTTAAAAGAGACCATTCATTACTAAGAAGACATCTGTAGATTCCATGAGGTTCCACTTTTTTTTTTTTTTGAGGTAAAATCGACATACGTTATATTAGTCTCAGGTATACACCCCAATTTATTATTTGTATACAATCACAGTAAACCTAGTTATCTGTCACTGAAGTTCCAAAAAAAAAATTTCTGCCCTTGTGATGAGAACTTTTAAGATTTACTCTTTCCAAGTTTCGAGTATGTAATAAAACACTGACTGGGTTTTACATATTTCTGAGAATTCAAACAAATTACAAATAAGATTTCTTCTAATGTTAAGTTTCTAGCCAACATCTGAATTCTGTATTTCAGACATTAATCTTTCATGGGAATTAACAAATACATTTTCAGTAATAATAAGAACTAAAGCCTTTTTTTTTTTTTTAAGGATTTTTTTTATGGGGGCACCTGGGTGGCTCAGTGGGTTAAAGCCTCTGCTTCAGCTCAGGTCATGATCTCAGGGTCCTGGGATCGAGCCCTGAGTTGGGCTCTCTGCTCAGCAGGGAGCTTGCTTCCTCCTCTCTCTCTGCCTGCCTCTCTGACTACTTGTGATCTCTGTCTGTCAGATAAATAAATAAAATCTTAAAAAAAAAAAAAAAAAGAAAAAGGATTTTGTTTATGTATTTGAGAGGAAGAGAGAGAGAGAGCAAGATTAGGGGGAGGGGTAAAGTGAGAGGGAGAAGGAGGCTTGATCCTAAGACCCCAGGATCATCATCTGAACTAAAGGCAGATGCTTAAGCAACTGAGCCACCAGGTGCCTCTACCATTCCTGATTTTAAAAACCAATTCATCATCACTTTCAAAGACAACAGTTTCTTATAAAGTAGTATTTTAATGGTCACCACTATTTATTAAATATGTTCTACTAAAAACAAAACTAAAAGTTTAAAAAGAACAATTAAGGATCTTACTGTTTCAAAGAAGCAAAACATATTTTTAAAAAGTCACTGAAAATATTACAAATGTATTTATCCCAAATAACTGATACAAGTCAACAATGCAAGAATACAGTATACCCTGAGTAACGTGAAAAGGAAGTACTTCCTTAAAGGTATACTTTGTACTTATACATGCTTAAGGAACACCTAGATGAAGTCATGGCTCAGTTTCACAAAGCTAATTCAACTCTGCAACCTTCAATAAACGGGGGCCGGTGGGTAGTGGGGGTGTGAGGTAGGTTAAGTGTAGGAATAAAATCTTGAAGGTAGAATACTTGTTCTCTTTTGTTATGCCATACTTACCTACAAATTTAGATGCCAAACAGAAATCAGAAACCAAACTCCCAAATTTTGTTTTGTTATTAAACATGCCACTGTTCTTTAGATAACCAAACAAGAAATCAGCTGTGATTTCTTTTTACAGCTAATATATTCAATAACTAAAGACCTTTTTTAAATTTCATTTTTAACATATTTCTTGGTAACTCTATTTACCCTAGTATTACTATTTACTATTAAAATAACCCCCTCGCTCTTGTTTCCACATCCAGACATGCCATCACTGACTTACCGCAGCATACCCTATCTAAAATGTAAACTGAACTTATCAGTCTGCCTCCGAAAACCATTCGAAACACCTTCTAACTGGATGTTTTCCCCTCTAGTCATATTCCCCTGAAGCCCATTATTTATATTGCAATTAGGTTGATATTTGTATTCTGCAAACCTGAAACTATAACTTCCTGGCTTACAACAATGTAAATGCAGTTCTTCTCAAAGTGGTATTTTTTCTTTGTAATACCACCACTTAATGACAGCAACACAAATTCCAAGATTTAAGTAAACTGAAGTCAACTACCTGACATAAAAGTAATTATTTATGAGCTTCATCATTTTATTTCTTAAGGCTACTATTAGTTACAGGTAGCTTGCAAACTGTTTTATGTTACTGATTAAAACCACAGTTCTTTATCATGGCTTGCAATTAACATTGTTTAATATGCATCCATAGTTATGTTTACACAGAGTAAACAAATACTTTCCAAGCTTCAGTAAGGATCTTCTCTAACTACAATCTCAAATTTCTATGATTCCCAAATTTCTTTAGGCCAGATAGAGAACTCCAGAACTGCCCTGCTATCACTATATAGATGATCTCCACATGGCTAACAGAAGTATCACATTCCTATTGCTCTACACTAATGTCATTCTTTTCCCAGAGAAATCTTCAGATACATACACAAAAATACAATTGCTGGACAGCATGTTGATTTATTAATAGCTTTATGGAGATGTGAACGAAACACAAGAACTGTACATATTTAACATGTACAAGCTGATGACTGTGTCTATTTTTGCTTTGTTGCCTGTGCTTCTGGTGTCAGTCAAGAGATCATTAGTGAGCCTAAGATCAGGAAGTATTCCCCCTTGTTTTGTATTTGAGTAGTTTTTAGTTTCAGGTCTTAATATTTAAGTCATTAATTCATTTTGATTTTGTGTACAATGCAAGGTAAGGGTTCAATTTCTTTTTTTGTTGTGGATATCCTACTTCCCAATACCATTTGTTGAAGAGACTATTCTTTTTCAAAATCAGCACAATAATGTCTCTTTCTCTCCACTTATAGATATATCTGTATAGAAATCTACAATTACCTATTTCATTGTTAAGCCATGGAAAAGCTAACCAAAAACACCAAAAAGTCACAAAATGTTTTCACAGTGGCATCTTTCATTTGAAAGTAAGTACGCCAAAACACAATGTCCATTTCTGGTGTGCCTGACTGTAAATGAAATCCTAAACATAGCTCCACTTAAAACTAACTCTACATTTTGAACAAAAAATAAAAGATATTCAATAAATAAAATGACAGTGGGGAAAAAAAAAAAAAAAACACAACAACAACCCCGGAATTAGAAGTAGTTAGTAATCAACAGAAAAAGTAAATTTTAAATCTTAAAAGTCATCATCAGATTTTACTACACAGTCATATGAAGTGGATACATTACTATTTTTATGTTTTAGACAGAGTCCAAAAAAGGTGAATACTGAGACACAGAAACATTTCTCTTGGGAATTTCAATGAACTTAGGAGGTAGACATTAAAACTAATATATCGGTAAGCTACCTGAAAAACAGTTTTTTTTCCAACTGCTCATTTTAGCCATTAAATCATTCACAAACTCTTATTTTGAACTAACTTTTCTACTGAAACTGGAAAACAAAAGCCCATTTCTAAATGTAGTTTCAAACAATGCAAAATTCTACATATATAATCATAAATGCAAAAGGAACGTACACTATATGGCCAAAATTAATATCAAAGCTAAATATTTTACAAGAAGAAAAGTTTTCTAAAAAATTTTTTCAAAAATAAAAATTGCCAAGTTCCCATTTTTTTAATATAAGGAGTTTCACATCTCACCAAAGCTACTTTTTTAAGATTGGTGGGGTGGGGGGAATGTAGCGGAGCAAATTTACAATGTGCAAAATGAATTTAAAAATTAATCAAATAAAGCAAAATTCAGGAAAAAATACTGATATTTAAAAGTAATACTAAAATAAAATATAAAATGTAGGCAAAGTTGTAAAACAATCTTAACTCTCATATGCTGCTGGTAAGCATGTAAAATGGCACAACCACTTTTGAAAAGATCTGACACCTTCTTTAAAAACTAAATATACTCCTATCTTATGACCTAGCAATTCTACTCCAATAGAGGTGAAAAGATATGTCCATAGAAAGACTTATATAAGAATGTTCATAGCAGTTTTATTCAAAGAGCCAAAAATTAGTATAAGTCCAAATG